CAGTTTGTCACGGTTTGCCATAACCAACGGCCCCTCTCCAGTCCGGATTCAGACCGGCTTCCCTCATGGCTTGTGCGATGAGACTGTCGCCCAAGTCCAGTGGCTCTGCAGTATCTGGCTCTGGCTGCTCTGTTAACGCCTCATCCACCTAAGCTCTTTGTGCACTGTGCACTTCAAGACTTCAATCATCTGAAAGTCGTTCTGTGAGCACGTCAGTCACTCCCACAAAATCACACTCTACCAGGTCACTCCAGCATCTGGCGGCATCCAGGACATAATCTCCGCAGTGGTCGCATCGATGCTTGGAGGTGATGATGGAGCAGTGGCAGTCGATGCATATGCACTGAGGTTGGGATTTGAGGAAAGTAAGGCCAGCGTCTTCTCATTCCACAACTCCTGGCTTTGCACTTTGCATATGGAGGCCTTGCCTAAATGTCATTCAACCCAGTTTTTGCCATCTAGTTTAAAGGATCTAGAGCCAAGCAAAATGAAGCAAAATGGAACTCCTTCTCCCTCTCCATCTCCTTAGTGGAACTCCATGTTGAATGCAATCACTTTTGTGAAAGTGTCTGAATCAATAGTGGCTGCATGATGCTGCATGCGCATAATGGCACAGACGCGCTCAAAACGCAAGAATTGGTCACAGCTAGCCAGCACGGAATGTCCGCTTGCATCCGGGAATCCTCCACGACCTGCTCAAAGCCTGAGACGGTAAAGCAAGTTGAAATGAGAATCTCGTCCTCTGCATCAAGAACACATGCCGCGAGCCATCGATTGCTCCACAACCCTTGTTGAATCATGAATCCCCGGGGGCCAAGGATGTCCGTCAAAGGGTCAAATGGAAATGATCCAGCACCCCTGGAACATTTGGAGGCCCTGGCCCCGTCTTTGAGACAGGTTACTGCAGGTCGGATTCGCCTGGGGGACCTGACACGGCTTCGGCTCCACATCCTCGAGCTCCGGTGCTTCGAGCTCCACTTCGCTCGCTTTTTGGTCCTTGACACGTCCCGTCAAATGAGCAATCTGGAGCAAGTAGATCAAGGCTCCACCCTCCTTCAAGACCGTCTTGGGTGTTTCTAACAGCTTCCACGGCTCTAATGGCAAAAAAATCAATATGATCAGATATGATCAGATCAATTCAAGGGAACCCAATTCTGGGACCAGTTGTGGGACAAGGTGCTCCACTACTGGGTCTGCTTGGGCCCAACGAGCTGCTGGCGCGACTACTTGCCTCCTCCTTCGGCGAGGGCGCCTCACATAGGGGCAAGCGTCCAAGTCAGTCCATGGGCAACAATGGCTGGCGGCTTGCAAACAGTTTATACAACAAAACTTCACAAGTTGCCGCAAGACAAGGTCTCCTCTGCAGCTGTTCACAATCAGAGTTAGTTCTGGCATGCTTGACAAGCGCATTGACTACTGTCAGCTTCCACACGGCTTTATCCTCATCCAATCTCATCCACGCTTTGCTAGGTCACTGTTGGAGGCCTTGGGCATTGGCGGTTTCTTCTTTTCCTTGGAGGGTGGCGTAGGCTGCAAACCTCTCGACCCGCTCCGGCGCGAGGAGATGCTACTGCCGCTGGCGCCCAGCTCTTCACGACCATCGCGCCGTTCCCGGGCGGTCAAAGGCAAGGGTGGCAAACCTAGGCTTCTCAGAGGCAGGAGACGCGCTGAAGCGGGAGACCCATGAAAACCTGCAAGGTCGCAACATGACATGCATACAGATGTTGCAGCTCATTAAGTCACAGTGCGCTTTTGCCTTTTGACCACCAGGACACTCATAGAGCTGCCTTTCCTCACCTCCTCCGCCACCACTGGGGCAGGGCCCCTTCGGCGGCTCGGTGGTGTCTCTGGCGGCCGCGGTGTCAAGAATGTTGGCGGCGCAACTTGCTCCTGTGAACACACCAGGGGTTGAGAGCCGTCATCCAGGGTTTTTGCATGGCCAAAGCCTCCAACATCTTTTATATATTCCCCTCGGCCCCTCGAGATCATCCCCTCGAGACAACATCTAATATATATATATATATATATCCTGGCATGGCATGGTTGGTCGCACAACTGTTGCACAATCAATGCCCACTGCTTAGCTGCTTGTTGGATCTTGTTGGTTCCTTTTTCTCTCGGACAGACTGGACATAGCAAATGCCACAGAATCTGTGGGCTTGGCCGGTCGAGCCACTGGAACATCTCTGGCCTGAGGGTAGGCGTTCGTGAGCTCGTTGACCAAGGGGCTGGCCAACATCTCGTGAAAGCCTTGAGTTCCGTGAGACACGCTGCATCAGCACCATGTAATCATGTATATTACATAGAGATGTGTGTGCGTGTGCATCAAAAATGAATAGAAATAACGAACAGGGTAGCCCAATACACTAGAAGTCTTGAATGGTATCATCATCCCCTACAGTAATGTCTATGTCTGAGTCTATGTGTTTCAGGTTTAATTATATAATCAATTCGTTTTATGTTTCATCAAACTATGGATGTGTGCCCATGGTCAATAAGGCATGCTACGGCTGCTATGGCTCGGACGGTGGCGTCTCGAAGCCGACGGTCTCGGCACCAAGGCACCCTCACAGGGCGGCAACCTCCGTGGAGTCAGCTTCCCCGATTCGCCTCCTCAACGAAGCTCGTCAGATGGTGACTGCAGGGCAACTGTCGTCTCCAATACTGTGAGAGCATAGAAGTGGCAGGATGTGTCCAAAAAAGGGGGAATTTGCACACGTGTGCGCATTATTGGACATCATTTACTGTAATTATGCGTCATTGCGTTGCTGGGCTTCACCCAGAAAATCTTCTCGACCCGCCAGCTGCCAAGATTCCCAGCTTGCCACATGGCCGCAGCATCGGCAGTTCCGCGCTGGGAGGCGAGGTATCTAAAGGCGACATGGCACCAAATCTAGGGCACAAGGGCCGTATCTAACTTGTGTGTGTGTGTGTGTCATGTTCGTCAACCTGGGAAGGAGTTTGAGGTAATTACTATTATTCAGCTGACAAAACCGCTTGAGGTAGACTCCATGTCCGAAGTTTGGACTGCAAAGTTCGGGATCCAATCGAATGCGCACCCCCCAGACTCCTTCACGGTGGGGGAATTCGGGGTGACCCTTGGCCGGCCGAATTTTGGCGTCGGCCAAGCGTGCCACCTCGAGCCGGGCGAGTCAAAGAACAACTCAACAACTCCCCAAGCGATGAAGGGAACCGATTGCTGGCAACCTCGTTTTTTGGAGATGGATGGAGATGGTTGGCGCACGGAGTGTTCCCACACACCATCACACACCCAACTTAAACATTGCAGATTCGACATTGATCTGCCTTCTACGCACGAACGGGCAGCACTTGAAAGGAGTACAAATAAATAAGTGAAGCCTGGCCCCCGTGCGTGGCGGAACTTGCAGAGGCGACCTGTCTTGGTGACGACCGATGACCAAATGCAGCTTCCGAGCGCAACCCCACAAAGGGCACGAGCGCAACCCCCGCCCGTCCCTGGCCACGCCTGGCCAGTGACCTCAGGCAGCGCGCAAATGAAGGGCACTGGAGCATCAAGGATCGCCTCCTGTGCAGGTGCTGTCGGGCGCTTGCATGCTGAGCCAAAAATTCAATACCAAGAACACTGATGAGATCAGGATTCAAAGGTCGTCCTGAAGGTATGGCGGGCAAATGGGCAACTGCAAATGTTGCCAACCTGAGTCGTATGGATGCTACTGATCAGAGTCAGAGGGCTGAAGCTTGCATGGGTGGGGGGAAGCGGATAACTGCAAGGTTGAACTGTCCGTCCATGTTGAGGCCAATTGCTGTCACTTACGCCCAACACTCCAGTCAAGCCGCTGAAAGGCCACAGCAGCGCCGTCAAACCTGCCCCGGGGACCCGATCTAATCCGATCTAGCTTGCACAAGCCGAATTCGCAGTTGCTCCAACGATTCACAAGTGGCTCCCTACCTATCTACCTATCTCAGCTTCGATATGGTGATCGACTCACGGAAATTTCGCCCACCACCAAACTGGATCTCCCCGGCTTCCCACCTAAGACCAGCTGCGAGCCCAACTCTCGGGCTTCCGATATCTGAGCTGAAAGAGCTGAGAGCTCCACACACGTGACGCGTGGAGAAGAGATGGCCGAAAAACATCCGTCACACATATAATTCGTTCATCCCTCTCTCTTGGACAACTCGTCCATGGACCTGATCACACAGAATCTTGATACAGTAGTCCTCTGGGGTTCGGTGTTCCCATTCGTGGGCCTCAGGAGCCGGAGCTCAGGCCCCGGCGACCACGATGCGGAACTCTAGGAGGAGAGCCAGAACGATGTCCATCACCGCCTGCAGCCAGGGACTCAGGTAGCAATGCAGTGACCAAAGAAGTTGTTGCGCTGCTGGCAGTCCCAAACATGGTGTATGGAGTCCTACAATCAGGAGCGAGGCACGTCACGTGATTGCTTGAGAGTTGACGCTAGAGGGCTGGCCTTGCCTCTCTGAAGTTTGCAGCTCTACAGTAGCAGTTCTGTAGCATCTCCGTGCGCAAAGTATCTCGGTGCCCAATGTTGAAGTGCACCCTTTTTTTTCAGTGCTTTTCTTGCACATCCAAGATCACCCTGAGCCCGAGCCTGCAACGTGAAGTGCCCAAAGATCTCAGTTGCTGACCACCTCAACAAGTCTGAGCAGGAGCTGAAAAGAACCCTACACCAAACCTATGGTTTCCATATATAAGTTGGCTGAGAGATATGTGCGCCGCCAAGTTACTGTACCGACCCCAATTCGCGGAAAGGATAACACTTAGCTGCAACAGGGAGGAAACATGTCCTCCTTTGGCCTGAGTAGTTTGGAGGCCATAGATCTGCTCCTTTGGCCTGAGCACCCCAGCTCCACCAGCACAGCCATTCGCCTTCGAGCCTCTTGACGTCCCAGGCAAGCGCCCTGGGGCCTGGCGGTTTAGCCCAGTGGCTAGCATCACATCGACATGCAATCTCCAATGGCTCCATGCATGCCCATGCTACCATCCCGATCCCTTTCTGGCACATGCATGCCCATGCTTCTTGAGCCAGGTGCAGAACCACTTGCTTTGGCCATGTTTGGCCTATCTGACACGCTCACCAAGTCCATGGCGACAATCATGCCATCACTCTCTGCTCACTGAACGCCAGCTGGCCACCTGCCACATGAAGCACTCACAGGCAATAGAATTAATTGAGTAACCCAGTGTTCGATCAGCTGTTCGCTTCAGTCCAACGGGTCAACCAACTCATCTCGAAGCATGACCGAACTGCGATGTCTTCTCCTTGCCCCAGATACCAACACATCTATATGAAGTTCAGCATGGCACTCCAGTATGTAAGACATTAAAGGGCCGAATAAAGGGTATGCGCGAATTTCTTTATAGTGGATGTTAATTGCTTAAGCATGTGTTCTATAATTTCTATACACCGTGGGCCCCGTCGGGTCCTGCTTCCGCTTGGAACTACGATTTTTTTCATGCATTCATCCATGATTGCTTCGGCTTCGCCGTCAAGCATCTACTGAAATCCATCTTCACGCAATAGCTGCAAAGAACTTCTGTCCTTGAAAGTTTGAAGGGTGGAACCCTTGAAAATTTTGGAAGGAGACTCGGTACAAAAGTACCAACTCCATCCAAGTCCTACAGCCTAGGCAGCAGTTGAATCAGGTCTGCTGAAAAAGCCCATCCACAAGCTATAAAGAAGCAAATCTCAAACAAGCGTCTCTCCTCGCATCTCATGGGACATTCGTGGAAACGTCCTTATCATCCCTGAAGCAGCTCCAAGGCATTGTCGCCCACAACCAGCAAAGCCCCGAGCGCGATGAGAATCGGCACCAGCGGGCCCCGAACGATGGGCCCACGGACATATCCGCCCAAGAACTGAGGATTTCGTGTGAGCACCGGAGACCTGAAGCGGTCGGGTGGACTCGGGTGGACTCGGTTGACACCCTGAAGCCAGAAAACGTGTGAGGATTCGAGGATCATTTGGTGTGTTCACATCCATGTCTACGCCATATGAGCCATATGCAATATATATATATATATGTGCACGTCCATGCACATCCTATCAACCTCTTCCACAAGCACAAACTTCTTCGCGAGAATTGAATTGGGCTAAAAAACCCAAGAAGAAGACATGGAAGCCTTTTTCAAGGCAACTCCAAGTGGCTCCGTGGAGCGCTGTGAGAGGACCATCAGAGCAGGAAGCAATCCAAAGAGCGTTGAAACTCCAAAGGCACCGGCCTCAGTTGGAACGAAGGAGCTCCCATTGTTCTTTTGGAATGAACCCCGAACCCCAACCCACAAAAAGGATGCTCGGACCAAGCAGCCTTATCGATCGCCTGAAAGAAGAGGCTGGGATCCCAGCAGGCCACCAGCACCGGCGGCCCCAGTGTCAGAGCAAAGTCACGGGCCTTGGCGCCCAGGGACTCGGGTGCACTGCCCGCTGCTTCGCCGCCGTCGAGGAGGTCGGCAAAGAAGTCCGTCAAGGCCACCACGAAGCCCAGGAAGGATGTGACGATGGCACTCAGAGAGAAGGCCAAAATGCCACCCGCCACCAAGGGATTACCTGGTTTGGGCTGCGGATTAAATGAGTCCTTCGCAGGACCTCCGAAAGGAGCAGGGAAAGGAGCGTAAATCTCGAAACTCGAAGGTATTTCTCCGTATTTCTCCTAGTGACCTAGTGAAAGGAAACCATTTTGGTGCCCTCACCTGTGTTCCGAAGCACTTCCAGGGGGTCGGCCCCAGCAGTGAAGGTGGCTGGCAGGGCTGCCAGAACCGCTGCGTTCCAAACGACAAACATCAAGAAGGGTATGAGGCTGCCAATCACAACGGCCTTGGTGATTTTGCCCCGATCGCCTTCCAGCTGAGCACAGATTGTCGGCACCACATTATGGTAGACCAAAGACAAAAGCAAGGTGGGAACTGTATCAGTCGCCTGGGACCAATCGCTCACTGCAAAGAGTCGTTCCGTGCTGCCGGCCGGAACGGCCAAGGCCACTAAGGCAAAGAAGGATGCGACCACAACTGTTGCAAACACGTTATTGCCCTTATCCAATGTGTCCGTGCCCTTGGTGAAGAAAATGAATCCACCAAAAATCCCTGCGAAAAGGACGGGAGGAGGTACCCCGATGCCAAGAACTGGGAGGATCGAAACCAGAAGCTCACCGCCTCTGGAGCAGTAGGCGATCAGGAGCGCCATGTGTAAGAAGACGAAGAAGGCCGACGTCCACCAAGCACCCGCAGGTCCAATGGCACCCGCCGCCATGGACTTCAGCGAGGTCGCCGGTTTACCCGTCGAGGCCATCGTTTTGCAAGCCACTTCGGCCACAAAAAGCCCGGTGATGGCCATGTACATCCAAGCCCCCGTGAGCGCCACGGTGGATGGAACGAATCCAGCTGGCTGGGTGACTGCTGGGAGCGCCAAGATGCCAGCTCCGACAGTGGTGCCTGCAACCAGCACAATTGCATTGAGAACGGATGGCTCTTTATATTGAATCGTGTTGCTTGAGTCGATTCCCTCCCAGTCAAGTGTGGAGAACAAGCGCTGTTGGACCATTTTTTCCGGATCTGCGAGGATGGCTTCCAGGACTTTTTGGGAGTAGGTATTGCAGTCATTCTCGACCAAGGAGAGTTGCGGGTCAAATGAGCCATTCACTGCAGCAGTCACATCCTCCACAGCCAAGTCCTCTTTCACCCTCCCCAGCCGCACAGCACCTTTGGGGAGCCGCTTCAACTCCCGTGCTCCGAAAAGCCCTTCCACCGAGCCACCCAGCAGTAGCCGTGCGGCCGCCTGTGGATCCTGTGGTGCCGCTGGCACAAAGTCGAAGGCGGCAAAGCCGCCCTCGTGGAGCGCGGCCAGGACCACAGAGTGCTTTGGCAGGAACTGCGCCAATGCACGGAGAGGGGATGGCAAAGTCAAGGGTGTCTGGATGAGGAAGACCTCTCCTTCCAAGCGTCCACTGGCACCATCTGCCCGCTCCAAGGACTCTAAGGTCAGTGTAGAAGTGTCCGTCTTCGCTCTTCGGGCGGCACGTGCACCGAGCAAAGCACCAAGAGCCGTGAAGGAGCGCGCTCGACTGGACAGCACCAGCCCCCCAGACTCAGACCCTCCAGACGTCAGGGGTCGAAGGTGCAGGTGCCGAGTCTCACCGACGTCACCAGGGCGAAGCGCTCTACCCACACCGTGCGCGGGGGAGTGCACTCTGGCCATGGCGGTCGCTGCACCTGGAGTCCTTTGTGGCTACGGACAGGTGAAATTCCCAGTTCGTTCCCAGTGAAAGCACACCGGCACCAACCAGGTCCTGAGTCTACAACTGGCACATGACGGTAACAAGAAGCTTACTCTAACAAAAAGCGACTAGTAGCATCTAGTAGCTATTTGTTACTAGGTAACATCTCACATTGCTTGGAATCTAAAGGTTTCAAACGGCTTGGTCCAGCTCTTAGGCTCTCAGGCCTGCTTGGCAAGATCTAGGCCGTCGGGCCCCATAAAGCTCTCCAGCAACTTGTCAAGACCCTTCACCTGTGCCGAGGTTCTGGAGCTGGGTGGGAACACCTGCAATTCCAAGCACCCTTGATGCCATGCATCCAGCACAGTTTCTGACACCATCGCTTCTAGGTTGGAGACCATCGCTAAATGGAAAAAGAAAAGGAAGACTTCTTACAAGCAAATCTCTCAGTGGCCCAATTGCAGCTCTCCCTTCGTCTGTTCCGCCTGGCCACGTGGCCGAAACTCCGTCAGGGTCACCCCACAAATACGGCCAGGGAAGGCAGCGGAGATGCTGTGCAAGAGGCGCAGCAACTGCTGCACACTGAGGCCTCCTGACAGCGAAGGGAGCACTCAGAGGAGCATCTAGGAGCACGTGCAGCCTTGGCAGTAGTAATTGAGGCTTTAAGATAGTAGTATATAATTAGCCAGAGTAATAAGTAGCTAGAGGCTAGTACTATGATATATATATATATAAATGGCTTTGTGAAGGGGCAGCTGGATTGATCAAGGCAACACCACGCAAACCACACCAGGGTTTCACGCTGGCCGCTATTACGAGTCCTCGCAGTCAACCTCGAGAGTGAGAAGGAATCTTTGAAGCTTGGCCAGCCGGCCGGTATGAAATTAAATTAAGTGAAACCCGAGGCAGGCCAGGCCTTCGGCTGGCACGTTCCTTGGCTAGGGACCAAGTCAGCCAGTCAACATTTGCTGGCACAGCTTCACCTAGGGCCGAAATTAGGCCCGCCCCGCCCATCAACACACAACTTATGGATACTTATGGATCAATTAAAAATAAGGTCGACCGGCTCGAATTCTGAACCGCTGAGAAGACAAACGGTACGTTTCTCCGTTGGCGAAGAGAAAAGAGGCACCACAAAAGCGCCGCACGACGTAAACCCAGAAAGGCCTGCTCGATGCCATCGATTCGTTTGCCCCGAATTCGCTGCGATACACTGATACACTGCCCAGCTCGAATGCCCTCGACGCCCTTGCGCTCAGCATCACATGAGGAAACTCCACGGGATCCAGGACGTCCAAATCCAGGTGGACGTGCACCACGCCGTCGCCAGCCATGTCAACCAGCACCTGTAAAAAGCAAGAAACATACGAACAAATCACAAAAAGAGGAAGCACCTATCCACGTTGGTTTTGGCATAAGGCGGCCTTTCTAAACTACAGCCTCATTACTAATTACAAAACCTGGTGTGACATGCTTTGACCCGGTCTGGGCCCTACAAGGCCAATCAATTTCATTCTTGCTTGACAAGGGTCCTGGGCTGCATCCTGGACTTTCAAATCAGCTGTGCTCAATAACCGCACCTCAGGCGTGGAACTTGAAATGTCACAGGAAAGTGAGGAGAACAGATCAGGCTTCCCGCCCTTGAGGTACTACCAGCAAACTGCCCCCCAAAAAAAGAGATATTAACTTTCCGTCTTGCCATTTCTCACCTCATTCTTTTCCACAAACACCTGCTCAGAAGAGTCCAACTCGCGGGCACCTCACTGGCAGCACTAGTCTTTTGCACTTCATCAGGAATCCATAGGAACCCCTTCCATGACGGATGCTTTCTCAGCTGGGCCTCCTGCCGAGCAAAGCCAAGCGAGCTGCCTCCAGCGGCACCCGGGGCTGCAAGTCTTCAGGTGCAGTACCCAGCAACGCTCGGAGGCTCATCCCTTGGCGCTGGATCCATGATGATCCATAGAGATAGACTCCCTGAACATATTCATGGAAGTGGAGTTCACCACCTGTTGGTAGAGGAAAATGATGGAAAATTGCCATCCAAGGGACCCTGCCCATCCACTTCCATTATTTCGGGACCTGTCACTATCCCCTTCACCATGCTTCACCCCCTCGCTCTGTCTTTGCCAAAAGGCCATGGAAGTGCCCCGAGGGCGACTCCCACTCCGCATTGAGATCTGCATGGGCATCGATGTAGGCCACTAGGAGCTTGGGGTAGCGCCACCGCAAGTAACTCATAGGGGCCAGGTCCACCGAGCAGTCGCCTCCAATGGTGAAGACCTGGCGGTCTCATGCTGCTTTCTGGCGCAAGGCTCCTCGCAGACTGTGACCGGTCGCTAAATTCTGTCATGCCCGCCTGCTCTGGCTGGCGGGATTGCAAGAAGCTTGATGCCCCGGCCATTACCTGATCCAGTTTCTCGCACTGTTCGATCAAATCATTGATGGTTTTAAGGTTTTTGGCAAACCTCTGAAATGCAACATGAGTGCAAGCATCAAAATCTCACAACACCCCAGCCATGACTCCCCCCTTGCCTTTCTCAATGGGGCATGGTACTTCACTTTTCCATGTCCAATGCTAGCATCTTCGTCTTCAACTGCCATAAGGAAAGACTGGAGCTCCGGCAGCGTACGCTGCAGCGCTTTGGCTCCCATGCAGGCGCCTCCAGTCAGCACAATACCGCGGGAAGGTCTTACTCACTGGGGCGCAATAAGACCTTCAACGGGGAAAAAAGTTGATAGGGCTGCCACCCAAATGAATTAAGTGATTATTGAACCGTTCAGTCGTCCAGCCTTCCACCACAGCTTTGCGGGCATCTTGGTCGAGGTCGCCCGCGCCAAACCACTGTGGCACACAAAGCCCCAAGGCATGTCCTGCAACTCGTCCGAATGAAAGAAAAGAAATTCACCTCATCTGAGCCTCATCTGTTCACTGGTTTCTTTCAACTTGTTGTGTCATGTATATAACTGTTGCTTCTTTCCTTCAAGAACAGCACAGGATCAACTGGCACGGGGACAAAATCACCAAAGCCCCTCGGGATCGAATGTCCCCAATAGCTTGACTTCAACCCCACACCTGTCCAGTGGAGCTCAGACACCGAACCCACGGCACAGCGACGCCAGCGATGCTCCGGGCTCCAACACGGAGCATCCCCACACTCACATGGCGCGCCAGTGGTTGGCCGAATACATTCCTGGCCAACAACAGTATATTATTGGTGATGTTTACTGGTGATATCTGATTATTCCTGCCTCTTATCAGGCTGACTTATCAGGACATCCAGCTTTTCAAGGTTCGATCCATGTGATTGCACTGGACCAGGACGCTTTTGAGCAGGGCCAGCAGTGGGCAGGCCATTGATTTGCCAGTATGGTTGGACTCATCAGCAAGCCATGTAACCTTTTTGAGCTCTGCTTCATGGTGGCATTTTACCTTGCCAAAATCACAACAAACAACTCTTGCCAGCAAAGCCAGTGGCAGGGTGGATAAGCAAAGCTGTCTGCACCTTGGAATAAATGAATGTCTAACCGATGAAAATGTTGACAACTATCGAAAACGGCCGAGGTTAGAAGTGTGGATCTGATGGGGCGCCACTCCCAAAAACAGTCTTAGGGGTGCAACCACAAAAGAACCAAGGCGCACTGCAAATGAAAGTGTGTGCAAACATCGCGAAAAAGCAAAACAAAGCTGCGCTCTTTTTCAAGCTTGCCAACATCGATGTTCTGTATGTAAATGCGGCGGCGTCCACAAACAACGTTCAAGCAGCAAGGAAAGCGTCCAACGTCAACCGTCATGGATTCTTCACATCAAAGGAAATGAGTGTTTCCTTGCTGCCACTGCTCTGCTGCTTTGCTCGAACCATGCGCTGCATGCGTCTCTCCCTTTGTGCCTTTCGCACTCCAGCACGTCGAGCTTCCTCCGCCTGGTCCTCCACCGTCTCCACCAAGCAAAGCTTTCCAGTTTGTCGGAACTGCTTCAAAAGCTCAGTGGACATCTCCTTTGTCAAAGGATCTGCTACCTGTTTCCAGGTAGGGACCCAACGAAGTCGCAGCACTTGGTCCTCCACCAGGCGCTTCACCATCAACATGTCGAGAGCTGCCTGTTTCTCACTGGCCATGCTGCCAGTTTTATTCACGTGGTCGTTGAGACCCTTGGCATCAGTGATGATGATGCCACCAACTTTCAACTCCTGCCTCCATTGCCACCTCCTGCCCATGGAAGAGGGCTCCAAACAAAGCTCTGTTGTAGAGGATCTTGTCTGCCGCGGAGGTCATAGCGCAGCTCTCAGCAGCAAGACTTGACCTCACCACACGGTGTACTTTGCTGCTATTGAACTCCAGCATATTGGCCTTGGTGGGCTTCTTCTCAACTTCCACTCCCGTCAGGAAGTGGATTTCAGCTTGCTGGGCCGTCATGGCCTCACTCTTCCCAAGGCTGGCGTCGAAGTACGACACAAACCAAGCTTCTCCTGGTACTGGATGGAGTAAGTTTTCTGCTCCACCTTCAGCTGCTGCCTTCTTCATAGCCACTAGCAACTGGTTGGCATTGTTCAGATCTTCACCACATGCCGTTGCGACCTTTGTGCCAAAGCGCTCACACGGTACAAGAACTCTGGCATGATGAGGTGAGCTGGCCATCGCAGTTGCATAATCAGGCGGCGGAAGGATGACAACTAATCACCTGCCAGTCTGCCTGCTTTTGCTGTCGTGACTTCAGCGGGCTGGATCTTTTCCACATACTCGGCCATGTTGTCCTTGAAACACTGGCCTTCTTTGGTGGCGCTGACACCCAAGAAGGTGATTGGCTTGTCACCCATGTTTTGCCACTCTTTGATATTGAACTTTGAGCTGATTTCTTTCTGAGCAGCTGACATCCTCGCTGGAGAGGTGACAAAGAGACCATCATCAACATGAAGACACAAAATTGCGATCACCTTATTGCCAGCTTTCTTAATGAAGGTTGCCCTGCAGAGATCCAACTCAATGTATCCCAGCTCCTCCAAAGCTCTTTGGCCCGTAGACCCACAATCTTGGTGCTTCGGATAGCCCATAGGCCGACTTGCACAGCATCAGAAGTTCAAATGGGCGAACTGGAGGCTCATTTCAGACTGCTGGTAAACCTTCTGGTGGTGCCTTGATGACCACTGTACGCTCAACAGGCTTGCCCGAAAGAAAAGCTGTGCTGACATCGAAGCATGCTGCTGCCCACTTCTTTGTGAGAGCGATGATCTTGGTGAGCTGCACTGCTGACCATGTTGTTGTTGGGGCATCTGACCTGTAGGAGCCCAGGTGTGGGTCCTGATGGCCTGGTACCACAAGCCGTGACTTTGCTTGGAAGCCACCATGCAAGGCGGCTTTGTTGACTCGGATGAGTCGTGCTGGCGCCCTGAACACATCATCAGGATTCAAAGACTTGATCTCCTCTTCACTAAGCCTGCGGATCACTTTGTTATCGATCCAGGACGTCCATTCTTTGCTGTCACTTTCATCGAAGGCTGCCCTTGCTTGGGCATTGAAGTGACGAGGGTCAAGCTCCTTTCCATTTTGTTTGTTGATCAGCAAGTAGGCTTCATGAAATGCCTGCTGGTCCTCCTCTTCTCTTCGCAGCTTCATCCATTCTTCTACATCTTCAACTTGCACTTCATAGATGCCGGATGGCAACTCCACCAGCACCTTTCCTTCCTTTGGCCTTTTCTTCTGCTCCCTGACGAAGAAAGTGACTCCTCGCCAGGCGTGAAGTGCTCTTCTACTTGGTCTTGTCCTCACTTCCTCTTCATTCTCCTGGCAGACCAAAGCTGTTCCACTCTTTTCTCCAAACATCAGGGTGATGCGTCCTCTTTCAGTCTTGGTGGGCCGTTGAAAGCGCTTCCTTGGTGCGATGTGATATCGCATACTTGTGATGGGCAAATCCAAAAGGTCAGCCATCTTCCTGACTTCTTGTCTTGTTGACCTTGTCTTTTCACCCACCAGGCTGAGCATGGCATAGCGCATCATCTCTGGTGTGAATCTTTGTTGAAGCTCGGCCTCTGTCAGACCTCCTTTCACTTCTTCTGTCCTCCGTTGCTTCAGGCTGAATGGAACATCGTCTTGAAGACGCTCTCTCAGCCGTTTCTTGAATCCTTCACTGTCATCAGGACCCAAGACCTTCGCCACAGCTTCCTTTAAGTGCTGCTCGATCTCCTTCATCTTGTCTGACTTCTCTTCTTCCTTCTTTTCATCTTCTTCCTCAATTGGCACGGTCACCTCAGGCGTCCTATCTTCTTTCTTTTCTTTTCTTATCTCCAACTGCACTCTGCCTTTATGGCCCTTATCCTTCTTGATTGTCTTCTGCACCTTCCGGAGTCCTTTCAAGCTCTTGGCAATCTCCTTTGCTCTTGCTTTGCTCCATCCTCCTTTCTTCTGAACGATGACCTCTTCTTGAGGCTGCCATCCAATTTCTTCTTCCTTCTTGCCTTCTTCTGGAGGTGGAGGGACATGTGTCATGTCTTCAAACTCCTTGTTGTCCGGCCACTTGTCTTGTAGGTTGTCCAATGCTTCCATGCGACCTTGAAAATCACCTCCTTCAAGCTCTGAACATGCACGGAGGTTGGGTGCTGCAACCAACAAACATCGGCCTCGCCAGCTGACATAGTATCGCTCCGAACTTTCTTTCATCAACACCACAGCTGGCCCCCGCCATGCGCCAGCTTCTCGACGGAACCGCTTGGCTGTGGGCTGAGGGACATAGAAGAAGACCATCTCACCGGGTGTGAAGTCCTTCATGGTGCCCCTGGGCCATCTTCGAAGCGCTCTCTTCAGCTTATCTTGACAATCTTGTCGCATCAATGAGATCTTTGCCGCTGCTCTCATCTCGGCACTTCTCACGATCTCTCCTTCGGTGCTTAGCGACTCCCTCAATGCCAAATTGCCAGTGGTGTCCTCCTCCAAGAGATCTGGAAACAGCGGCGCACGGCCGAAGACCATTTGGTACGGTGTGAATCCTCCTCTGGTTATGGTCTGGTTCTTGGCTTGTATTGCACATCCCAAAGCCTCCTTCATCTCCGTGCGTCCTTTGGCCTTGAATTGCCAAATAATGGCGTGCCATGCGTGGCCAAGGAGACCTCCGTGCCTCTCTGAAAACCCGTGCTGCCAACCGGCTCGAGCTCCTGTGCACTAGGAATAGATCCCGTGCATTTCCAGCCAACCGACAAAGGCTTCATCGAATTCTCCCCCTTGGTCAACGTAGACCGTGGCAGGTGTACCGTACATGGAGCACCAGCGTCGAAGGAATTTCCTGGCCACGTAGTCTGCCTTGCGATTTCTCAGGAGGCAAGCCGCATGAAAGGAAGTACCACCGTCAACCAAGCTCAAAGCAACGTGTAGCTTGTTTGCTGCATCGTGCATGTACTTGAGGTCTAAATGGACTTCCTTGGCAAAGACTGAGGTTCTTGTGACTGGATTGATCTTGGGGTATCTTGAGGGCGCACTCACTTGGGCACAGGTGGGACAGTCATATCGTCCCGCCAGTTCAACCATCTCTTTCGGTGCCCCTGCCAGAGTCAACATCTTCACCAATGTGGCTTTACTGGGGTGTCCCAGGCGTTGATGGATTTTGACCACCTTCCACCCCTTTTCTCCTCTCTTCATTTCTTCTTCTATCTCTTCATGATGTTCTTCTTGCTCTTCTTGCTCTTCCTCCTCCATCATCGGCTCCTCTGGCACTTCTCCTCCTTCTACCATCACTTCTCTATGCTTCCTCTTCTTCTTCAGGAACTGCTCTGCTCCTAAAGCAACTTCCTTGGCAAAACGAGTGGTGTAGCCTCCTGCATACTCGGAGAGCGGCATCCAAGTTCCATGGGTCTTGATTCCCCCAACGACCGGTGTGTGGTCATGACTCTTATCGCACAGCTTCTCACACCGGTGGGTGATCTCCTCCGTGCCTTGGAGTCGTGTTCTCTTCCGAAGATGTGGTCCATCTGGTACGCGGAGGCCAAACATACACATGTCAGAAATTGCCATGGATGTGCCACTGAATGCTTCTTCAATTAGGGGTTCTTTCCAGGCAAGTGACGGCTTCGGGTTTTCCCCCAAGATTGCACCTCCTCTCTTCCTTTGCGCTAGACTTGCATCTCTCACAAACCGGAGCAGCATCCTATTCTCCTCTCGCTTTTGCACCAACTTGGCTCTTTGGAAGGGCGTCTTTTGACCGAGCGTCTGG